GGGTATCATTTGGAAGGTTTATGGCCAGATTAGTTGGTTGGTTCTCCAATGAAGCCAGAGTTCAGTCATGTTAACATTTTTTATGGTATGATCGGCAGTTTTCCATGGAGGAATCTTTGGGTTCAATCACTAACGTTCCTAGGGAAGAAGCGATAGCAAGAAGATGGTGGTGAAAGTCGCCTGAGTTGTTTGGTCATTGGAAGTTCCAGGGTATTTTCCTATCACAAGGATTGTAGATGGTTAGGATTCAGTAATTCTTTGTGGATAGTGAACTGGGGTGAAGATTCACCAGTTTCGAGCAAGAGTATGGTCTTTAGTCGTCGGTTAAAGGACTTTAGGGTTTGGCGTTGTATCATGGGAGGTGATTGGAGCTATCGGACTTGCTAAGATTTCAGCGAATATTCTTCTAGATTTCAGGAGTTGGGTGATCATTGAGATTGGCTAGTAATGGAACGCCAGTATTAGTAAGCGTATATCATAGACAGTTCACGCATAGGAAGATAAGATGGGTTGGGAATCCATCAAGTTTTATGGGATAGGAGAGCTTCGACGAATCCAAGTAGGGTAGAATCGATCAGAATTTCGGGAGTTGGATTGGGTGTGGAACTAGGGCAAGTTTCATATCCTGGTCAGGAGGAGAGACGACCCAAGTGGCTGTTTGGATTGAGGTTGTGTGAGTGGGAGTTCAGGAAACTTCCAACAGCTGGTCGGCATCTTCTTTTTTTAGCAGGCTTGTGGATGAATCCAGGTTGAGGGTTGTGTTAGAGTTTCGCTGCCTGTTCTTGTTTGATAAAGGCTTTAAGATTCGAAACATGAACCGAACACCTGATTGGAGTACAGCCGGTTGCAAATTCGATTTCAGGATAATTGGGGTTGAGATGGTTTGGGTATGGTAAGACCATGGGTGATAACCATGGTTGGGTAGAAGTGTTGTAAGACTGCGATGGGATCGTGGCATTCACCAGTTAAGGTAGAAGATCATCTGAAGTAGTTATGAGTGTAAAGGGGGGAGCAGTTCGTGCTTTGGGTAACGACGGGCAGGATTGTCGATGAGCATGTCTATGTTTTAGGTTGAGGACTGTTGGGGTCCGGGACGAAGTCCAGCCTGTGCATCTCTAAGCGGGTGGGACCTGTGGGCGAGGCCGCTCCGTGGAATAGTTTGGGTGGGACCCGTGGGCGAGGCCCATGTGTTTATGGCAATGCAGGTGGGATCTGGTAGAGACCGTTGGGTCGAGGTATTGGATCTTGGGTTCCAGGATTGATTGTATGGTCAGTAAGTGGTGCAGAGGGATGTTTGGGTTGGGTAGCATTATCATTTGGACTCTTGGGAACCTGGTGGCTGGACCATGTACGAGACTGGTAGTCTCAGAGATGGTTTGAGAATCTCTATACTCTGGATTAGTGAGGGGTTGTTGTGAATCAGAAAGTTTCTGATGAAATGCAAATGTAAATCCTTGTATCTCGGGTTATAAGTTGGGTACCGAGATGGTTCTTGGTGGGAACTCGCGTTGGGAATCGTGGCTGTTTATGTGCAAGGCCTTCTCTTCAATAGGATATGAATTAAGGAATATGAATGTCAAGGGTATCAGCTGAAGGGTTCAGGGTTAAGGGATGGTTTCAATTTTGTTTGCAGATCAGGCTCTTGTGATTGTGTTTTGGATTGGTTCTATCTATGTGGGGGTCATGCGAGTATGGGATTTCAAAATTTCAGCAGTGGTATGTTGGTCCGGCAATTAAAGGAAGCAGTGTCTTCTTCAGCACTAGAATGTTTATCTCCCAGTTTGTCCCACGTTGTTCATTATATTCATGGAATTGTTATCATTAGGATGAGCCTTCCCTCGAAGGAATATATGTCCCTTTAGTCAAGTGAAAGGTTGTCGGCAGCAGCGTATGGTCTGTGATTCTGTTTTCTAGTGGGAACCTCAGGTTATCAGAAGTTGAGTAGTCAGTTTGGGGGATAAGTGAAATGGAATTAGCAATGGTTAAGTATGGGCAGTCTCTCAGGGAGTCAGACCAATTTGAGACTTCATATTTCAGGTTTCAGGTAAGGTAGAAGTGGTTTTCTGCAAGGGATTAAGGATTCGTTCATTATCGGGTTTGGAGAGTTCTGCTAAGATTGGGTTCGATAGCCTTGGGAAGGCCGTTATATGCTTGGGGGTTGTGGTTGCGTTCTTCAGGTTATCTGGCGTGCATGGGATGGTAAGGAATGATTTCGAGGATGAAATCTAATTTAAGTGAGGGAGACTTGTAACACCCGGAATCTTGAGGAACAATTGTTGGGAATAAATCCCATTTTGAGTATTGTACACAGCGTGTTGGAGGATTCAACACGGCGTGTATAGATAAGAAGAAGTGCGGCTTCGTTAAGGTCAACACGGCGTGTTGACAACTGGAATGAAAATCCTAATCTTTCGGGTTTTGCTCTCTATTTAAAGGAATAAGGATGCTAGGGTTTGTCCATCCTCATCCCCTCAAGCCCTGAAAGAAACCCTAATCATCTTCCTCCATTTTTAGAGCTAGTTGGTGCTTTTTGAAGCTAAGAATGAAGAAGGAGGAGGAAGGAAGGAAATATCAAGCAAGCAAGTCCCCATTCTCCACCTTGGCATTCTTCTGGACCTTTGTAAGTGTCCAAGACTCGACTTTTATCATTCCAAGTTGTTATATCTTGAGTTTTGTTCCTTTAGCTTCTTATTCTTGAATGATGGAATGGTTAGACCTCATAAAGTTTGCAACTTTATGAATCTCCTGGTCAAGAGGAGTTAGTAGTGTTTTGGATCTGGATTATAATCAAGTTTTGATGTCATGCATAGAGATTAGGTCATAAATCCCCATTTTGACCTAATACATGCATTGGACATGTATGTCTATAAAGCAACAACTTTTGGGATGGTTTTAGTGTTTGAATCACTTCTGGAAAGGATGGACTTTGAACTTTAAGGATTAAGTGTTTGTTGGTTAAGCTCTTGTATTATTAAGCTTTATGGATTGAGTTTTGAACCTTTTTGGGTAGTCCCAATGGATAAAGTTGGAAACTTTGTCCTTCTGGACCACATTATGGACTAGATCTAAGCTTTGGAGCTCTTGGAATCTAAGAAAACAACTTAATGTATTAAGCTGTTGGAACTCGCGCAAACACGGCGTGGTGGCAAGCCAACACGGCGTGTGGCCGGGAATTTTCCCGATTGATTAGATGCTGGCGGAACACGGCGTGGCCAAGGGGAAACACGGTGTGTTTGGTCAACATTGATTGTTTACTTTGACATTGACCAGAAGTTTGACCAAGGTTGACCATGGGATATTTTGGACCATATTTGGGCCTTGGGTGTTTAATTGGAATTTGGGCCTTTGGATTATTGAATTTGGCCTTGGCTTTGAGCCAAGTTTTGAAGAGGGTAAAAAGGTCTTTTACCCTAGTTTGGACACTTAGTGTGGGTCGGATCCGATTATTGATGGATGATTAACTTGTGATTGATAGCGCGGGGATTCTTGCGGGCCAGCAGCTAGAGATTCTTTCTGTGAGATTCGACAGTGCGAGGTGAGTTTCCTCACTACGTTTAGCGGGTTGAAGGCACCAATGTCGGCTCATGGTTTGTTATGTAGGATGTTAGATGTCTGTGTGACTCTTGCATGTGTATATGCTTGTATGCTTACTGGACGGGGCACGATGGTTATTTTGTACGCTAGTATCTGGTTATGTGTATATGATTTGTATGTGGGCGGGGCCCGTTATGTAAGTTTGGGTGAGGCCCGTTATACTCAGTGGGCGGGGCCCGATGATTGTACGGTATGCTATTATCTTTGTGATTTTCGCATGTGTTTGTATGTTATATGATTATCATGGTATGTGTATATGATTTGCATGCGTTATGCGAGTTTGGGCGGGGCTCGTTATACTTATTGGCCGGGGCCCGTTTTACTCATTGGGCGGGGCTCGTTATGTGTTATATATATATATATATATATATATATATATATATATATATATATATATATATATATATATATATATATATGTGTGTGTGTGTGTGTGTGTGTGTGTGTGTATGTGTGTGTGGTATCTGGTATCTTGGGAACTCACTAGGCTTTATGTTTACGGTTTTCAGTTTATGTTTGAGGTACTTCCGTTTTCAAATGGAAGAGTTCGAGATGATTGCAGGACACACACACCACTCGATTCTGCCTTTTTTTATTTACTCTGATATTGATGATGTATCGATACATTTTGATAACTTGGGTTTTACGTAAACGATATGGATTGTGGTTTTATTAATCTAAAAATGAAAATTTTATAGTCTGATTCTTGGGACGTTTCAAAACTAAATATAGAAAATATAAAATGGAAATTATAACAGCATAACAATTTTTTTTAGCTTTTTAAGACCAAAATAACAGGAGTTTTCTGATTTTGAACCTTCCATACAAAATGGAAATTTTTTGGACCCTATCAACAATTTTTTGAAAATTATAAGGACCAATTTTTCAGTTTAGTCAAAATATTACTTAATATTTGTTTTAAGGGAAAATGACTAATAATGGTAAGAATGTTTCAAAAACATTCAAAAAACATCATCGAAGTTTTGTCTGTTTAAAAAACACCATCCAATTGAGGGTTTTGTACAAAAAACACCAACGAATTATACATTTTGTTCAAATCTCACCTTGTGGTAACCGGATGATTCATGTGAACGGATGAGTTGGCATATTTGAGTTAAGTTGGCATATTTAACTGATGAGCTGGTATATCTAGTCAACAATAAATAAGAAATAGTCCACCCTAATAAAACGATTTAGGGCACAAATGCATTATGCTCTCTAGATTGGTCGCCTTCTTCAACTTTCATGGCTTGTCCCTGTAAACCGTTCAACTCCAACTCAAGCTCAAAAAATTCCAAAATCGTTCAACACATGGCGAGAACATATATCCCAACTGTTTCAAAAATCATACCAAAACCCAATTATTATATGTATGATTATATGAATGTGTATATGTGCATATCAACTCAATTCTTCAGCAACATATTTTGGACATATAGACTTGGTGAGTGAAGAAGGTAATAGGGCAGGCAGGAGCATGTACACAAGGGATCTTGAAATTCTTCACCACTAAATGGCTTATAATGGCTTCCACTCCTGCCAGTAGATCGATTCCCTGCTTATAAGATAGAATAAAGATACAATTATTTTGATTTGGGCAAGTTTTATCTGAAATGATTATACATATTCAAGGCAGCTTCATTGAGTAATAATACAGGGGCAAAATGGTCCATAAGCATCAAAATTTTATATTTCTTATTAATAATCAACAACATCAGGGCAAAATGGTTAATGGGAAAAACAATACATAACTGTAAAGTACATAGCCTTAAAGGGTTTAATGGTATAAAGGGATGTAAATGTGATAAATCTTTACTTATAGCAATGCACTTTTAGTATTACTTAATCATGTTTTTTTCGTTTAGCAAATCATTTTGAAATTTTCTGATTGGTTTTTTGTGAATTCGAATTTGGGGTGATGAATTTGAATTCCAGGTGGCAATAGTGATAGAATCTAAAGATCAAGCTACATTAAAACAAAAAATGATGAATTTATAACATGCAACCACTTTTCTCACACCATACATGTTTTCTAAATTAAAAAGAACAACTTATGTCAACCCAACACAAGGGCAGTTTTGTCACAAATTACCTACTGTCCCATTTTACTGCACTGTGGCATATTTACGTGCAGGGGTATATTGGTCTTTTAGGAAAATTGAAATATGAACAAAATAAACTATATATAGGGGTATTTTAGTCACAACCTGTTAACAGTAATAAAAAAAATTGTCCATCAAAAGTAGGCAGACCCTCTTCTGAGTTCTTTTAAATAATATTGTATTATTCGTTTACATTTCTTTTTATGTCACCTTCCGCCAAATCACAAGTAATCACAATCAAACTACTTCAGAGAATCGATCAAGTTATAAACAGTTACGCTCGAAGAACAATTTGCTGATCAAAGAATAGTTTGTAAATCAAGAAAAAATTACCAGCTACCGATGTTAGATACAATATCACTTATAAATTGGAATTAAAACTGCATAAATCAAATTATATTTCACAAATCAATCATTCATTCACAACCGATAACTACTATAACTGAGAAATCAGTTTAAAAAAATACAATACGGTAATCAGAGCTTCAATTCTACAAGATACATAAACCTATTCATCACCTTTAGAAGATGTAACAGAAGTCTTCTTAGGAAGCAAATGAGCGTGAATGTTGGGCATCACTCCGCCATTTGCAATCGTAACAGCTCCAAGCAATCTACTCAATTCTTCATCGTTTCGCACCGCTAACTGTATGTGACGTGGCACAACTCGAGTCTTCTTGTTGTCTCTGGCAGCATTTCCGGCCAATTCCAGTACCTCAGCCGCAAGGTACTCCATGACGGCGGCGAGATACACGGGAGCACCGCCACCGATCCGGTCAGCGTACTTTCCTGTTTTGAGGAAACGAGCGATACGACCAACCGGAAACTGGAGTCCAGCCTTGCTGCTACGAGATGTCGACTTCTTGGCTACGGCGGCGGACTTAATTGACTTTCCTCTTCCGGCCATTGTTACTACAGAAAAATGAAATCGGATCAACTGTTTAATTTTTGATATTTTCGCCGTGTTTCAGTGGTTTTGTAGAGTTGTGTTGTTGTGAAAGTAGCCAATAAGAATGTATGACGCGGATCGATGACATCGGTCGTTGATTTATGCACGTTTTAGAATGAACGGCAGATATTGCGGATCATTACATTCCGGATTACTCACGTGTAGATTTGCGTTATATTCATTTTGCATAATAAATAGTAATAAAAAAGTAAACTTACATTTTTGGTCCTTGTGATATAAACTTTTCTATAAATTTTGTTTTAGTTTTCCAAAGGGATAATGACTTGAAAAGGTAACGTGCTTAAGCAAATGTTCATATTTGGTTACTGAATTATTTTTCGTGTTTTATTTAACCTTGAACTTATTGAAATGTATACATTATACCACTGGTAATAGTCGGTTTTCCCGATTTCCGGCATGGTTTCCGGCCAAACATAAGTATTCCGTCCAAGTATGATTTTTCGGTCATCTTCAACGGCGACATTTCTAACGTTCCTTACCTTCAGCACACTTTTAGTTTGGGTTTTACTGAAGGAATCAGACATAAAAATCAGAAAATGAACTCATAAAACATACCTAACTATGTGCTCTTGGTGTTTATGTGTGAATATTTGAATCTTTGGAGAGGAAGATAAAATCATTTGCAGTTTTGTTCCTGAAATCAAATCTGGTGAAGATGAAGATGAACACACGAAAACCCTAGGGTTATTTGAGTTCGATTTCCTCCAGACTTCGAGTTCAGAATGGGTTTTGAAATCGTTTAGGTTTTATTGATGTTCGAGTTAGGGTTTGCGAAATGATTTTCCATATTCGAGTTAGGGTTTGTGAAGCGTTGTCAAACTTTGTTCCTTCGATATCCATCTTCACCGCCATAAAATCTTTCTCTGTAAAACTGTTCTTCACCCAATTCACGAAATTAAACCCTTGAATCATATTCAAATCCCATAACAAATTGGTTGAGTTTGTGCGAATTGAGCCGACGAGTCCCTCTTCCTTTATCTTCGTTTTTGGTGTTTGGTTCGCGTCTGATCTCAAAGAACAATGTCTCGTTTAGTACCCAAGTTGTGTATGGCAAAAGGGTTATCTTTTTCTTGCGTTTGTATTCTTTATGGAATCGTTTGTCATATTCAACCTCAAAAATCTTGAAGGGTTTGTTCTTTTTTTTAGGATAAAGTTTCTTAAACCAGCTTCCATGCTTGATCCATACTTTATAGCTCCGATGTAATGCCCACCATTGATAGAAGATGTTTGAGGTTTTTCAGGTTTCTTAGAAATTCATGGCTTCAATGGTTCTTCAGCTATATGGTAAACATTTGGCAGATCTAGAGTGCTTGGTTACATAAACTCAATAACTCATTTCTTTTTTCGATTTTATGGTGCTAAAATCAGATTTCCTAAGAAGATGCTAAAACAATTCCATTTTAGAAACCCAATAACTAAAAAAACGTGATTTCAAATCTAATGTGGCTGGAGAAGATGACCAGAGATGTCGTCGGAGGTAAGGAATGTCGAAAATGTCGTCGGAGGTGGAACTCAAATCCCTCAAAACAGGTTTTACCTGCTATTGCAGGTAATGATTGTATGATTTAAACAAAAGTATAACTTTAAGGGTTGACGGTGCTAAAAAAAAGAGTCAAGTGACTAAATATGTATAAAATGTATAGTCGCTTACCTTTGAAGTCATTATCCATTTTCTAAAATTTGAAACTGCTGACAAACTTATTAGTTTTTTTTTAACGGTCAGTTACTGTTTAGATTAAATTCATCAAATTAGTCAATTTGTATATGTTCGGGTTTCAACCTAAGACCTCTTGTCTAAAAGGTTTTCACATCTACCAAGTGGGTAACAACTCCACCATTATAGTCGGCGTCGATCTCTGCTACTGCATGCACCAAAAATTTCATTGTCGCATGCATTCAAAATCATCGCCACTGCCTAGATCTTCATTGTTCCTATTGTGGATTTTATGAGTTAGGGATGAGCATTAAAACCGGCCCAGGAACCGAACTTGGTGGAAAATAGGAACCGAACCGGATCACCGGTTCTACCAGTTCCAGTTCTTACCGTGTCTTCAATGTTGAAATCGGTCCTCGAAAAATAGCAACATACGGTTCCGGTTTTTGCCGGTTCTGCCCGTTCCGGTTTTTGCCGGTTCTGGTTCCTTGTAACATCCAAAATTTTACGCCAAATTTAAATTTTTTCAAGCATAAATAAAACCAAATAGTAATTGTTTACAAAAGTGTTTTCAATTCATTATTCAATTAGAGTGTCCCAAAAGCCAGATCGTAAGGATGAGGAGCGGTACAGCCACGCCTTCGCCTTGCCATGAACTCTGAAGCACCTGACACAATAAACTGAAAACTGTAAGCCCGAGGGCTTAGTGAGCTACCCCCAAAACACCAATACCACACTAATAATACCATATCCGTAATAATCAATCAATCAACATGCATACTGGACTATCGGCCTGACTGGACCGCCCTACAGGGCCTACAGTCCAACTAAATCTATACCGAGCCTTCGGCATGACTGGACCGCCACGTGGGCCTACAGTCTTCCCGGACCGCTCATAGGGTGTGTTGGCCTTCAGCACAAAGCAGGACCGCCTCAACCCAAGCAACAAGCAAATAACCATGTGCGCATAACTAACATATACTAGCATATACAAACATCAAACGTATTTATCTCACTGAGCACCAAACATAGCAATCTCTCATAACTAGAGCACTGACCTAGCAGGTCACTAACATATCAATCCCTACGGATCATAAGAGCATAACATACTGTCTATCCTGATTCTGATCTAACAGATCATATCCACATGTAGCATACCATAACGATAACAACTAAAAGGGCCGGCCTTGGTGCCTTAGACCCTATCGATATAGTGAGGATAACTCACCTTGCAGATGTCGACTCGGTAGATAAACTTCAACCCTCGGATCACTGCCACAAACTCCACCACTTATAACCATAGTATAATCATACCCATAAGCCAACTAATCAATCCTGGTCAACGTCAAAGTCATCAGTCAAGGTCAACAGTCCATGTTGACCTCGACTCGCCGAGTTCCTTGAAGTACTAACCCACTCGTCGAGTCACCTGAGTGACTCGTCGAGTTCCTTTGGTTTACGATCGAGACCCTAAGGCCACTCGTCGAGCTTCATTCTTGCAACTCGACGGTTACCCGCGCATACATAAGTTGGGGCAACCTCATCCGACTTGCCGAGTTGTTCATCCACTCGTCGAGTCTACGGAAATCTTCATTGGACTTGCAGAGTTCATGCCTATCTTCATATGACTCGCCGAGTCGACCATGCGACTCGCCGAGTCCCTTCAGTCCTTTTTGCCATACAGACTCATTTGAGCCATGCAGCGGCTCCAAACTATAGATCCAAGCTTCTAAGGCATGCTTTTCACGTAAAGTTGCAAACTTTACGTGCATGCATAGCTACAAAGGCTCTTAATGTCAAATCCAAGCTTACAATGGGGGTTTCATACTCAAAGAGGTTTCAATCACGCCCAAACCATAAACTTTATGACTCTAGGACTTAAGAAGGGTCCAGATCTGAAGTTACAACTTCAGATCTAGCCCATAGTCCACCTTATCAACTCAAAGATCCATAAAAGCCCCAAACTCTACCAAAAAGAGATCTAGAAGGGAAAAGAAGTAAAGATGGCGACTTGATACCTCTGGAAGATGCTAATTGAGGTAGATTCTGATTCCCACACTTTCCTTGCTCCAATTCCCTTGCCCTCCAAGTTCCTTTTTTCCAAAGATCTTCCTCCCAAGCTTAATACACACACAATAGAGCACCACACGAATTAGGGTTTCTTAAGAGCTCTCTAGAACTGCAAAGAGGCCAAATGAGGCTTATGCTTCCTGAAATAGGGTGCAAAACCCCGGGATTTAGGGTTTCCTCTGCCAGCTCCTACTCGTCGAGTCCCTTCATGGACTCGGCGAGTAGGTCACTAAACACGCGTACCAAGCCCGTTGCTACTCGACGAGTAGGGCAACCAACTCGTCGAGTAGGCCTTGAAACCAATTAAATTCTTATTTAAACAATACCTGAGAATCGGGGCGTTACAATTCTCCCCCACTTGAACTAGACTTCGCCCTCGAAGTCTGCTGGAATAAACAACGTCGGGTAATGCTCTCGCATTTCCGCCTCCGGCTCCCACGTCCACTCGGATCCTCTCCGATGCTCCCACTGCACTTTTACCAAAGGTATTTCTTTGTTCCGCAAAATCTTCTTCTTCCTTTCCAAGATGGCTACAGGCCTCTCCACGTAATTCAGGCGCTCATCGACCTGTATATCATCCAGGGATACTACTGCCTCCTGATCTGTAATACACTTTCGCAACTACGAAACATGGAACGTGCTATGAGTTCGGCTGAGCTCCTCAGGTAGCTCTAGCCTATAAGCCACTCTGCCAACCCTGGCAATGATCCTGAACGGCCCAATACAACGGGGACCCAATTTTCCCCTCTTCCTGAAGCGGATCACACCCTTCCAGGGCGAGACCTTCAGAAGTACCATGTCACCAACCTGAAACTCTAAATCCGATCGGCGTCTATCAGCATAACTCTTTTGCCGACTCTGAGCGGTCTGCAGCCGCTGTCTGATCTGCTGGATGTTTTCGGTAGTCTGCAAGACTACCTCCGTCCGTCCTATCACTCTGTGTCCAACTTCACCCCAACAGACCGGGGTTCTACATCTCCGACCATACAACAGCTCAAAAGGCGCGACGCCAATACTGGAATGATAGTTGTTGTTGTAGGCGAACTCTGCCAGCGGTAGGTGAGAATCCCAGCTCCCACCGAAATCAATAACACACGCTCTCAACATATCCTCGAGGGTCTGAATGGTCTGCTCGCTCTGACCTTCGGTCTGCGGATGGAATGTTGTACTAAAGTGCAGCCGCGTACCCAGTTCCTCGTGGAACTTCTGCCAA